CATGGGATAAAATAAGGTCTTTTAGACCATTTTAAGGATTTTGTCTTTGAATGATGCACGAAGTCATTATAGATTTTGAGCAGAGGAGTGACATAATTGACATTTTTAAATGGATCAGTCTGGCTACTGTGTTGAGAATAGACTGTAGGAAGGCAAGAGTAGAAGCAGAGAGCCCTGTTAGGGCAGGTCTTAGAAATGAAATCAACTGAATGAGGATGATAGTAGTGGAGGTAGTGAAAACTTTTATATTCTAGATATATTTGGGCAGATTTGGTGAGATATGAGAAAGAGAAATCAAGAATGGCTCCAAAACATTTTTAAAAATGATTCTAAAGTTTTGGGGTGTGGAACACCTGGAAGGATGGGATTGCCATCAACTGAGAGAAGAAAGCCCTAAGATGGAGCAGGTTTGGAAGACAGTATCAGTAGTTCAGTTTTGGACATGTTGAGTTTGAGAAGTTCAGGTGGAGTTTTAAACATGAGTTTGAAACACTGGAGTGGAGATGTTGAGTAGGAAGTAGGATATGTGAATCTGAGTTTGGAAGAGAAATCTTGTTGAAGATAGAAATTTAGAAGTCCTTGCTATGTAAATTATTTTTTGAGCCATAAGACTGGAGGAGATCACTGAGAGTGTAAGTATAGATAGAAAAGAGTACCAAGGATTGAGCCCTCAGAGACACTGACATTAAAAAGTTGGGGTGGCAGGGAAGAACTTGAGATACCACTTCACATCCATTAAGATAGGTATAATCAATATTAATATCAAGTGTTGGTGAGGATGTGGGGATATTAGAATCCTTGTCTATCAGTGGTGAGATTGTAAAATGGTACAGCCACTGTGAAAAAGTTTGGCAGTTCCTCAAAAAATTAAACAAAATTACCATATGATCTGGCAGTTCCATTCCTAGATATATACTCCAAAAAATTCAAAACATATCTTCATACAAAAACTTGTATATGAATACTCATAGCAGTGCTATTCATAATAGACAAAAAGTGGAAATCACCCAAGTATCCATCAACTGATGAATGGATAAACAAAACGAAACATCGTTCAGACATGAAAGAAGTATTGACACATGCTACACCATGGACGAACTTTGAAAACAGTATTCTAAGTGAAAGAAACCAGACACAAAAGACCACCACATATTGCATGCTTTCATTTATGTGAAATATATGGAATAGGTGAATCCACAGAAGCAAGCCAGGGGCTGGAAGAGAGGGAAATGGAAGTGAATGCTAATGGGTATGGCGTTTCTTTTTGGAGTGATAGAAATGTTGTGAAATTAGTGGTGATAGTTGCACAACCTTGTATATACACTAAAAACCACTGAATTGTATATTTTAAAATGATGAATTTTATGGCATGTGAATGATAATAAATGTTAGTACAAAAAATGTACAAAGGTTTATAAGCCCTTTTGTAGTAAAACATTACAACTGTTTTAGTTTAAAAATATATTGCTTTTGAATAGCCATACTTTCTATCCTTTATTTAAAATGTGATTACTTGTTTTTTAATAATTAGCTAATTTTGTATTCCAATATTAAATTTTCATCTAAAGAAACATTTTAATGAAGATTTTTTTCTTCTCTCAACAGTGTCTACCTCTGTCTCTCGGGAAGAAGCAATAAACAGTTGGGAGATGCACTCACTGCCCGGGTATCAGTATAAAAAGGTGAACTCACCCTCTGATAAAACGGGAGAATTTTCCTCATCACAAGATATCAATCCATATATTCATGAGAGTATAAAATTTCAGAAGAACAGTACAAACAAAATTAAAACCTTGAACAATTTGTTTTGGGGTAATCATCCCCAAAGAAAACGCAGAGGATATTCAGAAAAGTGTTGTCTTAGAGGCTGTACAAAAGAAGAACTTAGTATCGCATGTCTTCCATATATTGATTTTAAAAACTTAAAGGAAAAAGGATCATCACTTGTAACTGAGATATACTAACCATCATAGGAATTATACTAACTTAATAAAAGCTCAATACATTTATTTTACTTTCTTATTTTTTATTTTTTGGTAGTTATGCTTATAGGTGATACGCTGTGACCACTGTCTGAATGTACTTCAAGCACTGGACAATACCTTATGGTGGTAATAAGCATCTCAGAATTTTCTTTGGTGATCCTAATTTTTTCTTTATTTTTCATATTTTTTAAGAAGATGTTACTGGAGGTGGTATGATCCATGTAGACATTTAAGAATTACCTGTTCATTTCTTGTCATTGTGGTTGAAACTCTCTTAAGTTGCATATAACTTCTGCATTCCATCTGTATGACATACAAGTGATGCCCATGACTATTAGCCTTACTCCAGAATGCCAGTACATCTGTTCCACCAAC